CCACGTACCGCCATGCCAAGTCAACAAGGAGAATACCCTCGCACGTCAAACCAGATCTCGTACCAGGGCACTGTTCAGTACGATCCGCCCAGGAAAACTCAAGATGGAGCCATACGACGCCGTCCCGCGCGTTCCGGGACGGCGCCGTCTCACGCGCCCCAAGACGGCATTGTCCCGCACGTCTCGAACGACGTCGCTCCACACGTCTCAGGACGACAACCACGCGAAGGTACCCTCTCACCTCTCGAGAGTCGACTGTCGCGCCAAACCTGCATATGACCGACCCTCGTACAGTAGTATAAAATCCTTGGCCAAGCATCCGGCTAGAGGAGGAGGAGGAGAAAAAGAAAAAAGAGAAAAGGAGATCCCACAGACCATTGACTTAATCATCAGAGGGACCAAAGTCGGAGAAGATCCGACGAAGGTCTTTTCTTTTGCAAGAAATCGCCACCGTCTAAAGTGAAAGCTCCGCTCACGCCCCTGACGTTAATCCTCAGGGCAACGATTGACCGGTCCCGAGGACCAGCTGAGACGCCCGAAGATTCCCGACATTGCCCCGTGGACCAAGCCGTGCTGACTCACTGTCCACGGTATATTAGTTCATCAACAGACTTATATGCTACGTATTTAAAAATATAATAGTTATTTTAGAGACAAGTAAATCATAAGAGCTTAAGAGGTCTAGGATCAAAATTATAAAAGCTAAAATGGATCTTAATCATAAATTATATATATATCATTATATTAATAATTTATTATGAGTCAATATGTTATATAAATAAATTATAAACAGAAAAGATTTATATATTATATTATTAAAAAATATAAAAATTATTTTAGATTTGAATAAATCTGATACGGTAGTCCGATTAAAGAAAGGAAATGAATGTTTTAGATATAGCGTTAATCTCCGTTTTAGTGCATGTGATTTTGGTGCACTCGGTCGACCTTTCTCGACCCGTGATGGTGAGTCGGTCACTCGGTCGACGCATTGCCCATGCCCATGCCCACTCGCTTAGGGTTTAAGGGCTTTTGTTATCCCCGTCTGTCGCCCGACACGAAGAAAACCCGTCCGAGATCAAAGATGGCGTCGCTCTGTAGGTCCGCCGCCATGGCCGCCGCGAGGTCCATCGCGGTCCGCTCCAAAAACCTACTCCCGAAGCCCGCGCCATCTCGAAGAGCCGCCCCTATCGTTCGGAGGTGCAGCCATTGTCTCCCGAAATCTATGCCTTCGAGATCCCTTCTACTACTTCTCGTTCACGTCGATTGGGTGGCCTGATTAATTCCAGCACGAATCTTCTAGGTCGATCGCACCGGCGCTGGGAAGTGTCGAGTCGCTGATGCCGCTTCACAGCACCATCGCCTCCGCCCGTCTCAAGTCTTTCATCGCGGTTGATTCCTCCTGTTGGAGTTGGCTCTCCCAAGGTAACAACCATGAACTTCCTTATGCCTTGGTTGGTCATCGTTGATAACTGGGGAGATCTTTCATTTTGTTATGCATACGAGTATTGGCATTTGGTAGAAGCAAAAAGAATCTAGATTTCAAGAGGTTTAGATTCTATGGAGGGACTTAACATCAAATGAGAATAGTCGTTGGATTGGTTTTCATTGCACAATTGGAACTTTTGTCTTGTGGTAATTCTGATGATAGGATTAAGCAAGCGCATCTGACCATGGCTTTGAAGAGTACGACGAAGAAGAGAAGGAAGATTGCATGTGAGGAATTTAAACCACGACTTCCACAGGACAGGCCACGTTATTGTTTCTTCTTGTCCTTTGACATCTTATTGGATAAGAGTAGGAGTGAGAAGGAAAATAAAGATCAATGTCATTTCTCTGCTTGAGACTGATTTTGGCATTTATATCTATGCCAAGCAGATTGTTTCTTTGTTTTGGGGGATGTTAATGGAGCTTTGCAGTCTGACCTGTTCTTATCCTAACATGTTTCTCTATTTTTATGGTATAGGACGTGCTTTACCCTTGTGACCAAGGTGTGATGGCTTTATGCTATGTGGAGTAGTAGATTCATAGGGCTTCTCTATTCCGAAGACAATAACATACTAGCTTATAAAACTTGAATTGTACCAAGTGGCTGGACATTCTCTTTTTTAGCCTTAGCGTCTTGGCTTTTTAATTTTTGGAACTTATTGAGAAAACATTTCTTGTTTGATGGGCTTTTAACATCAACTGGTGCCTCCTAGGGCACACATGTCATATCGTTCACCATGTACTTTAGACAAGAAAATTTGGCATCTGATGCAGCTAGGTCAATTGTTTCCTTTTGCAATGTGTTCTCTATTCGCATGGACATATGCTTATGTTGTGAGCTTATGGATTTGATAACCACCATCATGATAATTCTTTGGACGACACCGTAATGTTACTGAGCAACTAGATTGGATTCTAACTAAGCCTGTTTGTCCTAACTCACAAATCATTCTGAACTGCTCTGTTATGTAATGCATTTATTTTTAGTTAATCTATCTACTTGTCTAATTGCAACCAGAATGATTATTGTTGTGATTGTATGTATATTATTCTACTTAGTACTGTACAACAAGTATCCAAATTCCTCATATGATGTTGGAATTGGCTTTGGTGGATGTATCACTTGCATAATATTTTGATCTCAAATAGGGAATTCTCACCTTCCAAGCCTTTGGAATCTGATTAGACATACTACTTACAATTTGATAAAATAACCCAAGAATACCTGAAGAAGTGATAGTATTTGGAATCAGACCACGGAATAGATTCTACAACCTAATGTGAATAGGACATCAATAGCTGACCACAAGAATGACCTCCACGTCCATAACAGGTGACATGGCCACATGGCTGATTTGATCCATTTAAACGACATAGTTCCTGAAACTTTGATGTCTATATGTAATTATTTCACCTCTCCTTATCTTCACTTTCTTTTACTTTGTTTGTTCTTTGTATTTAGTATTACCCAAGTTTCTATTCTACCTTGCATTAGAAAGTTTGTTGGCCTCCATCTCTAATATCTATCCTTTTGTTAAAATCATTAGTCTGAAATTTTGCTTTGCTGCTCCCTCAGTTTCCTAGTTTTTGGATATGATTTGTATATCTTAAAGTTTGACTTTTTATACATATCCTTGTCATGTCTGCACTAACTACATTCTGAATCTCTTATCTGATCCTTTAGGTTCCCCAATTTCCACTTTTTCCCCTTAATCTTGTTAGTCATTGTAGTGTTCGTGTTGTTACTGTTCTCTTTTTTCTCTGTTCTATTGTGTTATTTTCGCACCATGTAATTCTTGGATTTCTTTCGGTCCTTGCTATTTTCTTCGATTTATGTATTTTAGACAAATTGCTCTACATCTGTCCTTGCCATTTTTTTGTCTGCTTCAATTTATATATGTATTTTAGACAAATTGCTCTACATCTGTCCTTGCCATTTTTTTTGTCTGCTTAGGTTGGCAATGCTTATGTAACGTTCCGATTAGTCCTATATCGAAAGTGGTCTAAGATTAAGATTAATTTATAAGGATATGCTGGGTGTATTATTATTAATTTGGGTTTAAGCATTTTGAACCCGTTGTTTAGACTCAACGAAGTTGATAGTCTAGTTATCCCATCGGCTTGGGTTGTGACAATTGGTATCAAACCTGACCTAGTATTGGGTATAGTGCAAGACTTGAGTAGGAAAAGACTACCCATGAATGAGGTTAGAGAGCGTGTCATGACGTTGAGCTACCATTGGCGATGTCTCACGTGTATTATACTAAGATTTGATTTGGACTATGTTGAGTCTTGAGGAGGATATTAAGCCCTTAAATAGGAGGAGATTGTAACAATTTGAATACTAGGTCAAGATTGATTTACACGGATTTGATGGATGTCTTATTGTTAACTTGGGCTTAAGTAATTTGAATCTGCATCAATCTAAGACATCCCATCAGGTAGGTTGGTTTGGTTTGATTTGGTATTTTTGAAATATGTGCTAGTGATTATAAGATTGTAAGCCGTTATGGAATCTAGAATTCTGGATTTATTTCTTGCTTTTGTCTATATTTGTGGCCTGCATGCTGCTTTATCTCTTCTCCCTTCTAAAACCTCTTATTAGGCATGATTGCATAATTCTATTTGAGTAACCTATGACTGGCATCATAAGTGTCTATTCTTTTATTGCAAATTTAAAGACCATGATTTCTTCATAAATTCTTATGTCCTTGAAACATTTTGTTTCAGTCTGCTATCAAATAGAAATGTCTACTCCATTCTTGTACTTTCTCCCTTTGTATCAAAGTTTATAGCTGATGTTTTCTGTTTCATGTTGATGTTTATCCTGCTATTTTATATCTTATCTTATAAACAGAATTTCTATTGTGTCCAATTTGCGTATTTGTTAACTTTAATGTTTTTCCTGAAAGGTTTTTAATTTTCCAAGTTGTTAACCTATTTTTACACTCTCTGAGTTAATTTATTTATCCCGGCTATCTTAGAGCACCTTTTCTTGTTGCCACCTTGTCTACGGTCCCTCGAGAAAATTACCTGAAGGGCCTTAAGATTTCTTTTATTTCCCCAAGTCTTGGGCGGTATAGAACATATGATATCCTTTATCTATTTAGCAATAATGGTTAATTATAGATAGAGGTGTCAATTGTGTTCGATGGTACATCCAGATACCTATGAGGATCAGTCCCTAATTAGGACGGGGATGTTGAGCATTTTTCTATTACACGTACGATAAGATTATGGGACCCCTACTCTTGTATCTGTCATCATCTCATTTATATTATTATTATTATCATTATTATTATTATTATTATTATTATTATTATTAAATAAATAAATAAATAAATAAATATATTTGAGAATTGAATTCAATATCTATAATTGCAATAATCGAACACATTAATAACTAAGTCGATCCTATATTTAATTTTATAAATTTTGATATTATTAATTAGTTTTGATTGTAATTTTATTTTTTAAAAATTAAATAAATTAATCTGGAGAATATGGGATTCCTTGCACCCAATTGAGAATTTTCATGGTTACCCCACCTGACGCGGTGGCGGGAAAGCACTCCTCTCTTATCCCATCCCATCGACATCCTTGATTATATAGATAGGTATTCTATGTTATATTGTGCGCATTTTGTACACTCGGTACGTTAGTCCTGATGGAGAAATCAAGTTATATCTCAAATTTATAATTTTTTTTGGAGGTTGCAATCATCTGATAGGGTGATCGAGTGGTTAGTCTTTTAATGTCCTCTATCGTGAGGTAACACATTTTGCAAGCGATTTTTATACATAAATATTTTTCAAATTAAAGTTCCGAGCTTAAAAAACAATGATGGTCCAAAAGTCTTTGTTATTTACTAGTTAATTAGTTATATCCCACCACAAAACCTGACGATCTTCTACGAAGCAATCGTTAAAAGTTATCCTTATGACTGGTAAATCATATAGCACACTTATTGGTGTTCTCCAACTTTTAGCTTCGATTCTTTAGGCACGAACTTACTGTTATAGTCTCTTCACTGAAATTTTGTCCCCTCTGATATTGACAAATATGGGATAATATTTATAAGAAATTGACTGAATAAGTTTACTTGATTACTAGAGAATAAAAATCGGAATGTAGCTTTGAGACCCCGAGATAAAGATTAAAGAAGAAGAAGAAAAAGAGAAAAATCACTTTCTCATTCTTATTCCATCGACGAACTGAAATCCGGAAACGCCAAGTGCTTTATTTAATGGAGATCCTAAAACAAGTAGAGAAGAAGAGAGACCGTTTCCTTCCTGCAAGGTTGACGACCTTAGTTCATAACAACAACGTCAGGCGGATTGAATGGTTCGTTCAATTTGGTTCTACAAGCTAATGGTTTGGTCAACTTGCTTGGGCAACAAAATGTGCAGGTTCCGGTGCAACCAAGGTGGTCTTCTCGTCCGGTTTCCAAAAGCTCGCAGTCTTAACATCATCCTTTGACATCAATTTTGAGAACTCATCATGGTCATATTGTACCTTGCTCTTTCCTCCAAATTCCTCGGGTAGTATCTCCGGATCAAAGTTCTTATGCATTACTCCCATGCTCTCTTCGTTCTTTGGGTATACGAACTTCACCTTCTGAAAGGTTTTCGGGTCCAAGAAATACTTAACTATCTGCATGTGAAAAAATGGAGCACCATCAACATCTTACAAATTAAATCACAGTTTTTCCTTCATATTTGACGAAACAAGGAGGAAAGGCTCATACCTTCCAGAATGATTCAAAAATTCTTGGAGGATTGTAAAGGAATGCAGCCGCAAGCCTCTCAGGATAGTGACTCTGCAAGATGTTTGCCGTCTCTCGAGCAGTCTTGATGGGCACTGAGTTGCTTAGTGACCATCCTGTGAAGTCTATCAGCCAGATCATTTGCTCTTGGCCATCGGGTAAATTGATAATGGCATTTTCTAGGAGATACACCAGATGCCTGAGTTGGTTGTCATGCGACGATGTGTTCTGCAACATCTCAATGGTTATCGTCTCCATTCTCGATGCTGAATAACATGATGATTTCTGAGAAAATGAAACGTTCATTGCCAAACCTGTTTCCCTGGTCTCAGCACAAGAACAGATCTCCCCTCGCGATCTTGAAAATCTGCTCTATACACCTTACCGGTTTCGCCTTCGACTGCAACTTCATGCTGAAACAAACCAAATAATAGGGTAAAACATGGCTGTAATTTTGTGGACATTCAAAATCAACCACCTAAATTGAACTCACCCAACGAATTTCCTCTGGCTTATAAGTCGCTCTCCACTTAAGTGTCTCTTGTAACATTTTCTTTGACTTATCAATGTTCCAGTTCCGAGCTACCAGGTATCTCCGCAGGCATGCATCATCGCTGAACATTAAGCTATGTCCGGATAAGGGTCCAATAGCAGCTCTGAGCTCTTTGACCTGTTTGTTGAACAATTACAACAAAATATATATAGAGAAGGAAAACAACCTACTAAAGTTGTCTATGACTTGACTTCCCTATCTAGATTAAGCTCTTTCGATCTTGGACCAGATTAATGTGTCGCAGATCCATTTTGAAAATGGCACAATGGAATTGCAAGCTAACATTTTGCATACATATGCGAGAAATATATGTTATTTAGTACTAGACTACCGACTGCATTATCATATAAGACATCTTGACGAAAACCTCTTTAAAATCTTCATATGAAAAAATTATTGGCATGGAACATGTTACAATCCAGAGGGATCTAAATAACAAAATTTTGAAATTAAGATGCCAAATAGGAACAAAAATGACAAA